GGCGGACTACGTAATGAGAGAGGTCCATGAAGGAATTTGTGGGAAACACTCAGGCGCAAATTTATTGGTATTAAAACTAGTTAGGGCAGGATACTACTGGCCCCGGATGGAGCAAAACGCAAAGGCATTCGTTCAGAAATGTGACAAGTGTCAGCGCCAAGCACAGTTGGTGCACCAACCGGCAGAATTCTTGCATTCAGTGCTATCCCTATGGTTGTTAATGAAATGGGGGATGGATATAGTTGGGTCGTTGCCATCGGGTCCCAGAAAGGTAAGATTTTTTTAAATTTTAACTGATTACTTTACTAAATGCTTTGACGCAAGTCCTTATCAAAGATCAGTGAGCGCGAAGTGGTCGACTTCCTATGGAAAAACATAATTTGCCAGTTCGAAATACCGAAGGAGATTTCTTGTGATAATGCTCCACAGTTCATAGTCTCCAAAGTCACAAAATTTCTTGAAGAATTACCGGTGTGCTATGGGCATACCGGACGATAGCAAACTCAAGCATGAGAGAGACACCTTTCTCTTTTGCATACGGTGCAGAAGATCTGATCCCGGTGGAAGTAGGAGAACTGACCTTACGATACTCCCGAACGGGCGAAGAAACAAATAATGAGGCATTGCTGGTCAAACTGGAATTGCTTGATGAACGCAGGGACTTGGCACACATAAGAATGGTGGCTCAAAAACAAAGGATGGAAAGATACTATAACTGAAGGTCCAATTTCCGCTACTTTAAAGTAGGAGACCTGGTTTTGAGGAAAGTGATTCAGAACACTCGGGAGATCAACACTGGAAAGCTGGGTCCGATGTGGGAAGGTCCTTACCAGGTTTCAGCTGTCATCGAGAAGGATCATATGAACTGGAGAATCAAGATGGAGTCAAATTGCCAAGCAATTGGAACGTGACTCACCTCAAAAGGTATTACTGCTGATGGATCCTCCATATACTAAAAGTATGTGTTGCACTCTTTTTCTTCGACCAGCTTTTGTCCCAATCAAATTTTTCTAGCAAGGTTTTTAATGAGGTAATAACGGAAATCATACTACGAAGGGATCATCACCAGCAAAGTTAAGACCTTTAAATGACAAAGCACTGAAACAACAAGCCACTATGGGATGTTTAGATGATCTTTGGCTCGATAGTAAAGTTCCTAACGGGAAACGAAGCTTGCCATCGAACCAAATATTATTCAACCGTTCACAAGTGTTTTTCCTCAAAGGAGGAAGACTTCCAGTGTTCCAATTCTCATACTTCACATTCAAACACTGGGTGGAGGGTGGGGGATAGTATGTGAATACGACAACATGATTGTCACGAAAAATAGGACTATGAGACCCGGGAATAATAATGTCTCATCGGGACCGAGGACTGCACAACTTGCCCCGTAGAAACAAGTTGTACAAGTTAGCCACATGTATTGGCAATTTCATATTTTTTTCCAGAAAACAAATACTTATGTACTTTGAAGATAGAAGTAATAAAAAATGAAGTCCTTTTAGTTTTATCTTGTTTCTTGTCCAAACGATGAATTGATTTTATCATTTGAAAGTTAAATAAAAACTTCAAATGTTAGTGCTGGAATGAATATGAGACGTCCTCTTCGATAGCTTCTATTCCATCCTCAACCGCGGCTAGGTCTGCTCGGTCGTCGGCCCCATCTAATGCTGCCTCAGTATCGGTTTCTTCTCCACCTGCGGATATTTTGACTGCGGAGCTTCCGGCTTTCCCTTTGCACCATCTAGTGGAAAAGGAGGAGGAGTCGATGCCGAGCGGTGGGAATTTGGTCCTATGTAAGAGAAGATCGATGGACGTTGGTGATGGGGTCGCTCGGGCTGCGGATTCAGCAAGGGATGATTTTGTCATACGTGAGACGATGACCATAATACTTGAGGACGACGTTGAACTGGAATCTAATGTTTCGATATCGGTGGAGGCTGCTGGGGATATACCTCTTCCTTTTGAGGCAGTAGGAGCCGAGGGGCTGGCTACTATGACTTCTAATCTCGATGTTGACGAGATGAGGATGATGGAGGAGGGATTTACCCAACTGGAGGTGAGACTGGAGGGGTCCACGCGGACTATTGTGATCCCCATTGATCGGGATTTATTAAAAGATACTGAGAACGTGGTTCGTGCCCTCGGTCCCCTTTGTTCCGACGTGGAGAGTCGAACTCTCCAAGAGCTGAAATATGCTACCTTATCGAGGAGCATAGCCGGCCTCGCTCTCAGGGTAAGTTTTTTGACACTTCTGTTCGTTATGCTCAACGTTTAGGCTTTGTTCTTACTCTGTCTGTTTTCTTTTTCTTTCCTTTCAGACCGTGATCTTGGAAATTAAAAGTGCCCGAAGAGAGGAGCGACGTAAGGCTATTTTTATGAAGTTCCAGGGAAAATACTACGAGTACCGTGGCAAGCACCGGGAAATTTATAGGCGGTTTGGTGAGAACGGTAATTTCCAGGCTCTTCGAGATGAACTGAAGGAGAAGGGTGACGAGGTGGTGAGGGTCATCGAAAAGTGCAGCGTCCTTGAGAGGACGCTGAGAAATAAAGAGGAAGATCTTGAGGTTAGCAGGGAGGTCGAAGCCTAGTGCGGCGACCTCCAAGCCCAAGTGATTTATCTGCGCGCCCAACTTGAGGAATGGCAATTCAGAGTGGATGCTCTAAGCGGTGAGGTCACCGAGAAGGCAGAGGACCTTGAGAAAGCTGAGTTTGCTCGGTCAGGGGCTCTGAGGAAGGTGGAAACTTTGGAGGTAGTGATCCGTATTCTTTGCTCAGAGCGAGAAAATGACTTGAAGACGACCAGGCTTAAAGAAGAGTGGCTTAATGAAAGGACTGGGGAGTTGGATAAAGACAACTCCCTCATTCAGGACTAGGTGGACGCCTTAAAGGCCGAGAAGGCTCAAATGCTTGCGCAGCCATCATTTTCTCACACTTCAGATTTTCCAAACGTTCCCCTGGGCCTGTACGATGAATGGGTTCACGCTGAGGCACAGTTGGACGTGTTCCGAGATTTGCATGCGACGAGGTCTATTCCTAGGGACGCCCTTGAAGATGCTCGTGTTAAGGCCCGTGAAGCTTGAATTGCTTGTGGATATGATCCTATTACGCCGGAGACCGGTGACGATGAGTGAGATGCGTATGTGGATCAGATTGAAGAGGATGTCTGGTACGAGGACGCGTACCCTGAGGGCGGTTGTGATAGTGAGGGGGCAGCTGGTCAAGCCGATGACACTGATGGTCCTGGTGGCGACCAATAGTTTTTCTTTTTCCTTCATTTATTTTGCTGCAAACTTGTGCATTTTTGTAGGCGTCTTTACAAGCCTTTGTAAAAATATTTTAAGTATGAAATGCCAACTTTGTTACTCGTACCTGACTCTTTTTCTTTGGTTCGCGCTTGTATGCTTTTTGATTTTCTTAGCCGTAATCATTTAGCTTGAATAAAGTTGAACACATTCTAAGTTTAATTACGACCGAGGATCAGCAGGTGTTAGTTCGAACAGAGTCGAACCAAAACCTAAGTTTGATTATGGCCAAGGGCCAGTATATGTTAGTTCGAATGAGGTCGAACATGTCCTATATTTAGTTATGGCCGAGAGCGAGTTAGGTGTTAATTCGAACGAGGTCGAATATAACCTATGTTTAGTCATGGCCGAGGGCCAGTTAGGTGTTAATTCGAACGAGGTCGAATATAACCTATGTTTAGTTATGGCCGAGGGCCAGTTAGGTGTTAATTCGAGCCAGGTCGAATATAACCTATGTTGAGTTATGGCCGAGGGCCAGTTAGGTATTAATTCGAGCGAGGTCTAATATAACATATGTTGAGTTATGGCCGAGGGCTAATTAGGTGTTAATTCGAGCGAGGTCGAACATAACCTATGTTTTGAAAGATATTCCTCTAGGTGCAACATTTGTCTACGTGTTGAACTTTAAGGCAACGTTGCCTTGGTTGTATATCCGGAGAAATAGAAATAAACTTCATGCATTTGTGCTTTGTTCATACATTTGGAGAAATTTACATCTTTTTTTGGGCATTGGCTGGCATTCCAGTCCCAGTCCCAGTTTATCTAGTCCCTTCATTGGTCGACCTGGAGAAGTCTTGAGAGGTCGAGTAATGATTTAGCCATCCTGTGTCTCCATTTGTGCGCACTTCGACCTGAAGTGTCCCTTTCGTCGCCTCGTTAAAAACCTCCTTGAGAAAACCCAATTGGGACAAAACTCAAGTGAGGGGAAAAAGAGTACGACTTGGGGGATGCTTAATCCCTTAAAATATGAAGTACTTGAGGTGGGTAATATTCCAGTTGTTTGGTAGTAGCTTTCCTTCCATTGTTTCTAGTTGGATTGACCCTTTGTTCCTTCGTCGAGCTCCTGCCTTCTGCTTTCATCGTTCCTTGGTCCGCTATCATGGAAGTATCTTAGGCTGGGCTCCCCGACTTCGACCGGTATTACTTCATCAGTCCCAATAACTAATGATTAAGGTATCTCTCCTGTGCTTGTCTTCGGCATTGTTCGGTAGGCCCAGAGTACTTCTGGTAATATTTTCGGCCACAACCCTTTGGCGTCGTCAAGGTTTTTCTTCATGATGTTCAGTATCGATTTGTTGGAGGACTCTGCTTGTCCATTGCCCGCGGGATGATATGGCGTTGAGAGTATTCTTTTGATATGCCATTTTTAAAATCATTTAGCGACCTTCTTTCCTGTAAATTGGGGTCCGTTGTCGCAGCTGATCTCTTTAAGGAGGCCGAATCGGCATACGATGTTTTTCCATATGAAGGCGATCACTTCCTATTCGTGTATTTGGGAGAATGTTCCTGCTTCTACCCATTTAGATAAATGGTCAGTTAAAACCAAAAGGAATCGTACGTTAACTCGTCCTGCCGGGAGGGGGCCTACGATGTCCATTCCCCATTTGATGAACGATCAAGGGGAAGTGACTGAGTGGAGGTGTTCGCCTGCTTGGTGAATCATTGGGGCATACTTTTGGCATTGCTCACATTTTTTCACGAAGTCCGCGGCCTTTTTTTCATTCTGGGCCAGTAATACCCTGCCCGTATGAGGCATCTGATCAAAGCCCGATTGCCGGAATGAGCTCCACAATTACCTTCATGGACCTCTTCAAGAATGCGCCGCGTCTGATTTGGGCCCAAGTATTTCGCCAGAGGGGCGCCGTACGTTCTCTTATACAGGTCATTGTGGATGATGCTATACCTGGCTATTTGCATTCTCAGTTTTTTGGCTTCTTTTTTATCACTTGGGAGTACGTCGTCCTGCAAATATGTGACAATACGGTTGCGCCAGTCCCAAGTCAGGTTCAGGGGATTTGGCCGAGTTGGCATTCGTCGAACTCGGGAAGCAGCTTGCAGATTTCGGTCTGGTACTTTTGCAACCTTTGTTCCTTGATTTAGAAAGTTCCTGTGACTTGGTTGACAACGAGTTGAGAATCACAATGTAGTCTTAGCCGTTTCTCCCCGTATTTGAGTGCTAGTCTCAGCCCTGCAATCACGGCCTCATACTCGGTCTCATTGTTAGTCATGTCGGGGCACTTTATGGAATGGCGAATCACTTCACTGGTTCGGACTTCGAGTACGAGTCCCAGTCCAGACCCTGACGTGTTGGACGCGCCGTCAGTGTACAGGACCTAGAGGTCTTGTGTTTGGGGAGAAGCATGGATGACTTCTTTCATAAACATAAGAGGGCTCTTTCTTATGAAACCCTCAGTGTAAAGGGTTGGTTCCATAAGAGTTTATGCCCGAAACCTAAAAGCTATCTGGAAAAAAACACCCGAAGCCTCACCTAATTCGTCGCAAAAATAATGAACTTTGAGGAATGCTTAAGCAAAATGTCCTTTTTATTTATCAAACATGCCAAATGGCATAAGTGCAAAAATACAAAGAGAAAACAACAAAATAAAAAGGAAAAATCTAAACTTCATCGCCACCGGAACTCGGGGGAAGAGAGGCATCTATGCCCCCGGGAGAAGTAGGCGGATCTGCCACCGGTGCAGGATCTTGGCCTTCATCATCATTCTTTTCAAGTTCCTCCTCAGTTCCTGAATACTCAAAATGACACTAGACAGTTGCATCAGGCTGAGCCGGGAGACATTCTCGAGCAGTTAACTCCAGCGCTCGGGCCTTGGCGATCTTATCGTCAATATCAATGATGCCCATTTTGGCCTCTTCCAAGGTTTTCCTCCTTATATGGTACATAAAATATGTCTTTTCAAAGATGAGGGAATCCCCTTGGTACTGGAGCTTTGCCTTAAACCTGTTGACCTTGGCCAAAATGCCATCCCACTTGGATCTCATGACACTAAGGCTAAGATCGAGATCACGGATTGTAGATATTTTAAACCAGTTTTGATCTATGATCTTTTTATACCTATCTTGCATCCGAGCCCATTTCTTGTCACGACCCGAAATATCACCTGTCGTGATGGCGCCTATCTAAATACTAGGCAAACGGACAATCTTAATAAACCACCATATCTTTTAAGTTTGAAAACATAATATCTAAATTCAGCGGAAGAAAACTCACAAATACATATATAAATACTCCCAAAATTCGGTGTCACTGAGTACATGAGCATCTAAATAAATACAAGGTCTGACTGATAAAATCACTGTCTGAAAATACAAAACAGTACAATAACTAAAAAGGAAGGGATTCAAAGTCTGCGTACGCCAAACAACTACCTTAATAATCTCCACAGAATGAATTCCGAAATCTAGCAACCGTCATATCTGGGAGCACCTGGATCTGCACACGAGGTGCAGAGTGTAGTATGAGTACACCCAACTCAATAAGTAATAAGACTAACCTTTGGGCTGCAAGTAGTGACGAGCTCAACAGGTACAGTCCAGTATAGAAATAACAATACAGAAATGTAGGCATGATTTCAAGTTCAAAAGTTACTCTCAGTACAAATAAAATAGATCAATTCTGAACAATGTGAGGAATATTACATCTCTGTATCTACATGCCAATGTACATACTGTATGTGATGCACCTTAGTGAAAACTCCGTGTACTCACGATCTAAAATACTCAATCACTCAGTACTGTATATGACCAATCCAGCCCAGGAAAAATCCATCCCAAATATATATGTATATCCATCAACTGACAGTCAGTCACCCAATACTGTATAAGGCCAATCCAGCCCAGGGGAAGATCCATTCCCAATCATTAATGATTCGGACAAGATCTATGTCCAGGGAAAATCCATCCCTCAATAAAAATGCTTCGGGCAAGATCCATGCCCAGGGAAGATCCATCCCTCAATATATATATATATATATATATATATATATATATATATATATATATATATATATAT